GTCAAAGTGATGGAGGATAACCAAAGCTGTATCCAGTTCGTAACGTCAGAACGCAAGAGTCGTCGGTCCAAGCACATTGAGGTGCGGGGACATTTCGTGAAGCAACTGTGTGATGATGGATGCATCGAGTTGCAGTACTGTCCAACTGAAGACATGGTGGCTGATGTACTCACTAAACCGGTGGGTTCAGTCAAACAGATGAAGTTTGCACGGATGCTGGGATTGTCATCATCGGATGGCAGTGTTCGTTGAGGAGGAGTGTTGGTGTAACAACGGTCATGCCACCTTTCACTACACACCTTGATGCAAAGAGCTATCCTGTAGTGACAGTGATAGCGAAAGAGACGGTAGCAGAGCGAGAGCGCAGCATCAGCCTTCTGCTGTGTGCGCCATTTTGTATCATTCGCAAAAGTAAACTCGATGTGTGTAGATCTCGTGTTAATAAAGTTTATATTTATTTTCTTCACAATTAAAAACTCGGCCTTTCATTCCGCTGGAACTTCAGTCCAAGAGAGTTTGCCGCTATTAAGGTATGGGGTGAAAATATTTCGTTACTAATATGTATTCTATTATTGTTACAGGACGAAGTCCCCGCTACGATGATGGATGCCCATCTGAAAAATGTGGAAAAGTTCAGCTTCGGAGGAAAGTTTGATCCGTACGCTGGGTTGGCAACAAGCGGCATTGCCGGTACTGGTCCTTACAAGGATAAGGAAGATGAAGAGAGCAAAGTCCCTGGAGCCGCTGGCACTGCCGGAACGGGTGCTCCAGCTACTCCGGGATCCACTGATGTTGTAACCTTCGAAGAAGTTTCCACCTAGAAATGATGGCTTGGTGAGAAATTTGAACTAAGATCTACAGGAATATTGTCAGTAAATGTAAATAATCATGCAAAGAAAGTTTGAATTATATAAATAAAAAGACGATTAAATGCAATAAATGAAATTAAATTAAATTTTGAAATTATCATGCTGAAAGAGGATATAATTCGTTGTCACGCTGTCCTGAAAAAAAAATTTCAGAAGACTAGCATGGTGCAAAAATATGGGATGTGCTGCCAAATGAGACGGATTGTATCTCTTTTGAGCATTGTAGAAGCAGCTAGGGCCATCTAAAATCTAGGTAGTGTTAGGGCGACTCGCATGTTCGAATTCGACCGGGCTGCCGATACTCGACCCCAACTGCTCGAACGCACGAAGTGAGCCGAAGGCGCGCAGACTCAGGCGATCGAGGATGGCGTGATGATCGTACGACGAGTTGGAATGCTACCTAACTTATCTTGGCAAAGCTATATAAGCTCACTTCACCCCGACAAAGCTCTCTTAATCCTGGGAAGTGAAGTTATACGGAGTGTTTCAAAAGTTCGACAAAATTTTCTAAAAAATTCAGAACAGAAGTTCTTTTGCCGCGTTACCTTTGATCGGTCGCTAAACGTCAAGGAGTGTTCTCGCGTTCGAGTAACGTTGTGCCCAATTCCAACCGTGTTCCGCAAACTTAGAAAGTGGTCCTGTGAATCTTTTGGACATTTTTCTAAACGACACGTGTTGAAGAGCGTGCAGTGATAGTTTGTAGCTACTGGTCAGAAGCCAAATAGTTCCGGAGTGCTATCCACGCTAGACCGCTTCCGAGGCTGTCGAACGGACCGTCCGTCACCATACGGTCCTCTCCAAAAACTCCATCAACGCACCATACCATCGGAAAGTGCGAAGAAGCTAGCGGTTTCATCGAGGAGGCGTGTTTGGCGGTCGGCCGAGCGCGGGAACGAGGTCAGCGATCCACGTGGTGCACCACCAACAGTGAGCAGTGAGCAGCATCAACGAGAGAACAGTGAGTCAAAAGTGTCCAAAAAAAGTTCCAATTCCATTTTGAATAAATTTTTAAAAGTTTAAATTCAATCTAATTTGCTTGTGTCGCGAACATCTTTTGCATGCACCAAAGAAATCGATCTAGTGTGGTTTCCTTTACGATAGTTGGAGTGTTTCGCCTTGAGTCTTTTCCTAGCGTGGTTTTGTGCCGACCCTGAGTTTTATTATTTGGTGAGCTAGTCCGGCAAGCTAGTAAAGACGGCCGTCCCGGCAACGGGTGGAAGTCTTCATTAGTTACAATGTCGAGATGAAGGATGGTTCCAAGACGGACGACGGTAAGATAGCCTCTATGCTGGAGCACCATACTGCCGCTGGAAGCATAATTGTCCCATGTGTATATGAAACTCCATAGAACAAGGGACAATTATGCGTCCTCCGGCAGTAAATATATTATATTATTTTATTATTTCAACCTTCAATCTGCAGACTTTGTTTCTCTAAGCTTTTTCAAGGGTCTCATCCCGAATAGAAATTGTAATGTAGGAAACATCAGCAGACATCTTCAATACATTAAATTTTAACGTGTATTGCTGTAATCTTAATGTATTCAGACGTCAGTGTGACGTCCAAGTACATAAAAATACATTAGCCTCAAACGTTACATCAGAATCAAACGTCTTGACGATGTAAAATTTGACATCAGAATACATCCAATGACAACAGAACCTAACGTTACATTAGAATCAAACATCATCACGATGTAATTTGTTGCACGCATAAAACATCAGAATACATCCAATGACAACAGAACCTAACGTTACATTAGAATCAAACTTCATCACGATGTAATTTGTTGCACGCATAAAACATCAGAATACATCCAATGACAACAGAACCTAACGTTACATTAGAATCAAACATCATCACGATGTAATTTGTTGCACGCATAAAACATCAGAATACATCCAATGACAACAGAACCTAACGTTACATTAGAATCAAACATCATCACGATGTAATTTGTTGCACGCATAAAACATCAGAATACATCCAATGACAACAGAACCTAACGTTACATTAGAATCAAACTTCATCACGATGTAATTTGTTGCACGCATAAAACATCAGAATACATCCAATGACAACCGAAGCTAACGTTACATTAGAATCAAACATCATCTAGATGTAATTTGTTGCACGCATAAAACATCAGAATACATCCAATGACAACAGAACCAAACGTTACATTAGAATCAAAGTTCATAACGATGTAAATTGTTGTCCCTCGGTCTCTCGCCGCATGCAAAGTTTGTTTTTCCTGAGTCAGCACTACACGGCGAATGAGAACGACCCAAATTTGAGGTTAGTTCACTCATAAATCGCAAAAAGTGCAGGAACTCAGTTTTGAATTAATTTCCCTCATGTTCCGAATATGAGAAAAGCAAAGATTGGATTCTCTGGATTCTCGTAAATTTTCCTTATTTTAGGGCAGATTTTTGAGGTTTTCCACAGGAAAACATGCGGCAAATTTACTCATCCTGCACTTTTTTCGATATTGAGTACACTGTACTCAAATTTGCGTTGATCTCATTGGCCGTGTACAGTTTTTTTTTTCGCAGTGGGAAAGAAGTTTTGGCATGCCCTGTGGGCAATGTTTATTTGTATGTAAAACAATGCCCTGGTGACGTTACAGTGCAAGAGTTAATTAGTGTTTTAATTGATTATTATCGTTTCAATTGAAAACCGATTTTACTCTTGTTCTGTACGTTAAACATAACGTCGGCTATAGTGTGCTGTACACGCTAACTTGAAAGTACCTATTAATGGTTGAAAAAGACCCATTTTGAAGAAAAGTGGTTTAACTCATTAAATGAGTAAATTTTTTACCCATTAATGAGTATCTGTTACCCATTAATGAGTAATTGTTAATCATTAATGGGTAACAGATACTCATTAATGGGTAAAATTGTTTAATCATCAATGAGTTAAACCACTTTTCTTCAAAATGGGTCTTTTTTTACTCATTAATGAGTACTTTCAAGTTAGCGTGTATTCCGCATCCGTGTATACGAATACACTTACTACCCCTGTTGGGTGGTTTTGTTCCTCCGTTTTTGACAACATTAGAAGGAGAAAAGGAGACAAACTAGTCAAAAGTAGGTAAAAGTGAACTGGCCGTTGGGTACTTTTTTCTTACCGTGTACGAATACAGCACCGCCCCACACGAATAAAGCCCTACAGTAAAAGTATGGACGACTGACACCACAAAACTGAAAAAAGCTGTTCCAATCGAGCAAAGCGGCCCGCATAAACGCGAACCATAAATTGACCTTACCTAAAATGGTTAAAAATTGTTTATAATCCCTGCTGAACTTCAACTGAAATGGTTATGGAACTTTACATGAACGTTTAATGATAAAGTTTCAACCTTATGTATTATGGTTTTTTGGAACTGGACCTTACAAATAATGGGTTGTTAAGAACCATTACCGTTCCAAATTCTTGTTTTCTCCATACATTTTCGGAAAGAGAACTATATTAGAACCTTTTAACTTATGGTTTGAGAACTTTAATGGTAATGGTTATGGTAGTCAGTAAGGTCCACGAATGGTTTTGTAACATCGATCAACTTTATGTGGAATATATCGCGAATTGGTTGCCTGTAATTTACTGATTACCAATTCACGATATATTCCACGTAAAGTTGAGCGATAATACTAAACCATTAATGGACCTTACTGACTACCATAACCATTACCATTAATGTTCTCAAATCATAAGTAAAAACGTTCTTATATAGTTCTCTTTCTGAAAATGTATGGAGAAAACAAGAATTTGGAATGGTAATGGTTCTTAACAACCCATTATTTGTAAGGTCCATTTCCAAAAAACCATAATACATAAGGTTGAAACTTTATCATTAAACGTTCATGTAAAGTTCCATAACCATTTCAGTTAAAGTTTAGCAGGGATTATAAACAATTTTTAACCATTTTAGGTAAGGTCAATTTATGGTTCGCGTTTATGCGGGGGTGCATTTTGACGGTTCGATTGGAACAACTTTTGACAGACGTCCATACTTTTACTGTAGGGCTTTACATTGGGCGACTTAAAGACTGACGTTTTTAAATTGGTGTGTTTTTTTTTGTCATGCGCTCAGCCATCTTGTCTGGTTTGTTTATAAACAAACTAGACAAGATGGCTGAGTGCACGGAGCGCACCGCAAATTCCTTCACCCGAGCCGCGAAGGAAAGTAGCAACTTTAACAGTAAGTATTCAAATATTTGTTATATTTAGTGTTATTATTTGTAATTTCTCATCCGGATTTCTCAAGCGGGTCAATTTTGATGTAATTATTTTCAAAAATTGATCCGGTTGAGATAAGCATCCTTGCTGATGCAACGCATCAACAAGGATGTTTAACTAAAGCCCTACAGTAAAAGCACAAACGAAGTGACAGACGGAGCGGCTCGAAATTTGATTTGACGCACTTACATTTGAAATTTTCGAGTGTACCTCACGGCAACACTATCTACTCATACGTACTAGTTTAAAGCTATTGATTGTACCGCCTGTTATCTCTTTTTCTCTAACGAAAATTGAAAGGAAGAGCCTGTTGTCAGACAGCATGACATTATGTTGCTTTCGTTGTTATCTGGGCCAACATTATCAGTGGTGAATACTTCGGGTTAACATTTGCTTATAAGTAAACGATGTTGAGCAGTCAATGACTCGCGCTTGTTGGCGGCAATTGTTGCTACAGATTTCATCAGTCCGTGCTTCTAACCAAAGCCACAGTCATCCGCGACCGAGAAGACATCGACGATTATTTCAAAAGAAAAATAGTTAGCTTGCTATTAATTTTTGAAATTTAAATTTCTTTTGTTTTGTTTGGTTTTTCTTCTACTAATTATTTATTTTATTCGACACACTGTTCTTTCCGTCGCGTAGTTCTATTTTAATGCTAAATACTGTAATCACCTGTAATGTAATCCATCAGGGCTATCGAGCAGCTAAATGTGTTCCAACATGTCGCTCCAGTTGATGATACTGAAGTCATCCAGAGGACGGCGCGTGGTGGCGTGACTCTTTAGCAACTCCGTATAATCGCATTTGGAAACGCCTTTTCCGGATCCCGTAAAATAGGCCTATCCAAGCGACAATTCTTGGCATCGATGCGAATTATGTATTTTAGGTAAATCACACAGCTTCTTCTTCATCGCTTCCCTTCTGGCATAAAGGGAGGATCTCATGAATCAGCATTGGGTCATAAGCAGGTCTTTGTGGGGAATGGTATTTGATGCCTTATGGGGAAATTTATTCGATCGCTTCGAAAGTTATTCATGGCACCTGGGAAACCTTGAGTCAATAAAGCGCTTGGTACGGTACTTTATTTAAAAAGATATTGAAACAAGTAAATAAGTATGTGTGATATGAATGTTTATACCCGCTATTCTGAAAAACAAAAGCGCTCTGGTGGAATCCATTTTTTTCTTTATTCTATAGGCCAAAGTGCAGCGCCATTGAATATCAATGCGTTCAGAAGCAGTGTTAGATTTTAAAAATATCTCAACAATTTGCTAATCTTTTGCAAATCCACCGCTACGAATGAAAAGTCAAATAAATTTAAAAGAAAATTTATACTGCTTTTAGACTGGAACGCGGACGAATTTGTTGGTAGGACATACATTCAACGTCACCGGATCTAACCGCTGAATGGCCTTGACCAGGTCTTTTTCCTTAAATTTGACTTCGACAATACCCTCAGGCTCTAGCACTCCCGCACGAGATTCCGGATCGGCATAGGTTTCCATGTACCGTGGATTGATGGTCGGATCCAACACAGCCCAGGCTCCTCCACGAAGTTCCGCATTCGGTGGTAGATAGACGATGACCGGTTGTTTGTACTCCCTCAGCCCGTCAACTATGTAGGCACCGAATTTAACGATTTGTTCGTACATATCTAGAAACGCAGAATTCATCAGTTAGATGCTATCATTTAAAGTTACCTAAATTACACTTTACCTTTCTGTCCACCGGAGAACCCTCTCCAGTTGGCCAGGATAATCAGTGGCAGTTCCTCTCGTCCAAAGTCTTTGATTACTTGTGCCGTTTTGTAGGATGAGTCCGGGAACCATACCTGACCGGCTTGTTGGAATGTTTTGGCTTCCGAGTCAAGGTTTGCCGGATCAGCCGGAATGGTCAGCTCGACTGTTCGAGTTTCTACCGCAATCACACCCACCGGGATGCCACCAAGTTTGGCACGACCCACAACAACCGTTTGAGCCCATGGTTCCATCACTTCCGACCAGCTTCCCCGATCAAAGAAACCGCTTTCCCATTCAGAGGGATTGGACGGATTGACACGTCCTGCTAGCATCCACCGCGGATCATAGGGCGCCTTAGTTGGCATGAAATCGATTGGTCGGTTAATTGAGTCACTGGTCGTTACGATTGGCAGCGTTCCTCCACGCACATCCGGAATGTAAGAGAGCCAGTACAATATCGTGTAGACACCGTCCAAATCTATTGCCTCGGTCTTGTGCGTGACACCGTTGTTGTGCATGATTTGAATACCACCCAACTGGTTATTAGAAGCGTACACTTTTCTACCCAATAGTTTGTTCAGCGCGGCGAAGCCAGTCAGAATAATGTGAGAATTTTCAATTTGTATCACACGTTGACCAAGACGTACCAAATAGGAACCGATACCGATCGTTCTACAGGTCACCATCGAAATCGTTACCACATCTTCATACGCTCGCGAAGTTTCACCGGCAATCATACCAGCATAACGCAGATTCTCCACACCGAGCCCATCGGTTTTGCCAATAATATCAGTGATTTTATATCGCGGCTCTCCTTCGTCCTCAATCAAAATGGCACGAACCGAATTCGTATTTGCAATCTTGCTGTAGTCTTCAGTCGTCAAGTACAGATACTTGAATCCCTTCTCCGGCTCGTCGGGATCTTCCCAGGCCACTTTGAACAAGGATTTCACTTCCTCGGCCAATCCGATACGGGCACCACTGTTAACCGAAATGTAAATCCTAGGGCACTTGCGCTTCCGAGACAGTTCCGACGCCTTACAGAATAGCATATCCTCCTGAGGTCCAAAGGATCCGATGAAATAGGTTAGGTCGTTAGCGATGACTACAATCTCTCGCCCGTCAGGGAACTCTGGAGTAGCCAGTACAATCCTCCATGCCACCATCCCAACGTTGTTCTCTCCCGGTAACCGTTGAATCTCCTCCAACGTATCACCCTTCAGCACCAACTCGTTGCACACGAGTAGAATTTTCTCGGGAATCCTAATATCTTCCGTTGGTCGCGCTTTGGAAAATTCCTTCCACAATCGTTCCGTCATTTGGCGGAACATATCCGGAATATCGTACACATAGGTAGTACCATTGGATTGAGCCTGGAAGCGTTTCTGTTGTAGGTAATCTTTGGTCATGTAGGCCGAAGAAATCGGCAATCCATGCAGGGGTCCTTGCCTGTTACCGTATGCTTGGAATTTGATCACGTGCGTCTCCGGATCGGTCACTTCGGTGTACATTGCTATATCTAAAAAGTAACCGGAATCGTTTGCTATGCACAAACGAACGGAGGTAGTTGGCGATTGTGTCGTCTGCCGGATAACCATCTTCAGCTCAGCTTGCAGTACCCGCAGTTTCCACAACCGAGGCCCATACCGCATCACCATCTTGGTCACGGACTCCTCGATCTTGGCCGGATCCATTATAACCGTTGGAACAAAGTTTAGGAAAATGTGATTACAATCCGTACGTTTGGCGTGGGGATGCGAGAAGGCCACTTCCAGCTCATCCATCGCTTCCAATAGCACGCGTTCACCTTCGTTCTGAAGGTACTCGAATGAAGCCTCTTTGGTTATCAAATCCGAGTGACGAATAATGGAACGTATGAAGAAACGGAAATCTGTCACTTCCTGACCCTTGGCTACCTTGGCACGACCAAGATATAGGTGCATCTTTTGATTGGCAGTTGGCAGAGCCTCCAGGTCGTACGTTCGCATACGGTTCAGCTCCAGCTGGAAGGCACATGCCGGCTCCAGGTGACGATAGATACGATCCTCCTCAAAGTTGTCTCGTGCTCGGTAGGTGAAGAATTTTGGGAATTGACGTCTGTAAAAAAAATATTTGTTTTAGTATCTCATTAACCTCTTCTAAACACTTAATAAACTTACTTCTTGAGTGCGGCAAATGTAATCCGCCTAACTCTGCGGGTGAGCAGCTCTTCACGATGTTGAGCGCAGAACGATCCAAATACCTGCTCCATCTGTAAATCATCCATATCGCCCATGTCACGAACAGCAATGCTTAGGATGTGCATGGCTTCCGCTGGGTGTGCTACCATATAAAAATAAAGCCCCGGTTAAAAACCCTTGGTCCAATTCGGGTAAAACCATCCGTAAACATACCGGCAATTCCATCACTTTCCACAGCCCGTGCCACCGGGTCGGAAATCGAAACATTGATTGACGTACTCATACGACGGTCCGAATCTCCGGCTTCCACCGCTTCCAGTACCTTAGGATTGACAAACGCAGGCGATGAGAAGTCCTCTAGCAGGTCCAAAATTTCATCCGAGTATTGAGTGAAATGGTCAAACGAATCGAACGCGGCCATGCAACCAGTGCGCATGAATGAGTCGGAAATGTTGTCTGTTTCCGTTCCATCAGGGAGAACCGCAATAGACAGTGACGACAGCGATTCCGATCTGGTTTCTACACGAAAGAAACCAACGTCGAAATGACGGCTGTCCACGTCTTCATCTAGTTCTTCCTCGTTCGTTTCTTCGAAGCGAAGAAATCAGTCTGGAGGAACTGGTCAAGAAGATTCCACTGAAACGAGGAACTTCCGTCGAAAAATTACTTCGAGTCAAACCGGTCGTAAGGCTCGAGAAGCTCAGCTCGGAAAAGATCAAATCGTTGACTTCTTCGGAGAATGAAGACGAAGCATCCTCCGCCGGATCGTCGACCGTGTTCGATTTCAACTATCGTGTGAAGTTAAACAAAAAGCAGGGCCGAAAATCGATGGTAGAATTGCAGCCGATCAAACAGGTCATCCGCTCCGACACGAACACGCTAACGGATGCCTCGGTGGAGATCGTGCGTCCCAAGACGCCTGCCCAGAAATCTTTTAGAAAGCAGTTCAAACTGAAGCTTTTTGGGTCGAAAACCGTCCCACGAAAACGTTCCACCAGCGAATCTGATCCGGAGTACGTTACAGCGAAGAAAAGTTGATTTAATTTTAATGACGAACTTGCAGAATTTTCCAGCACTCGTGCACTAAGCAGGTCTTTCCCACGGCGCAATAGATTACTGCCAACGATGCCACCTCAAGCGGAAATGCGATTCGAGACCGGGTTGACGTTGATGCTCAAAAGCGAGAAAATGTTCCGGATTTCTCTACCCATGCGAATGTCAGCTGGTATCACACTGCTTACAGGTACTGAGGGAGAACCTTCCAAAACTTCTAGTGTTTGGACTGGTGGTATGGCACAAAGAATGCATAATGCACCACGAACCGACGGAGAATCGTATGTGCTGTGATCAATGTGATTGGTGAGGCAGAAGGAAACAAGCCAGCACTTGCATTATCACGACGTTCTTATGCATAATCTAGTGTGACGAAACGTTGGATCATGCGTAAGAACACCGTGAGAACGACAGAGTCGACTACATTCCTTCTGCCGCACCTATAGTAACGCACACGGCTCCCGCGCTGACTGTTCCTTACTTTCTCACTCTAATCAAAATTTCCTTCGATGAGTGAGAAAACAGCACCCCGTCAACACGAGCAAGGACACGAGTTGCCAGATCATTGCACACAAAACCAACTTGAATTAATTCAAAACAAAAATACTAGCGAACCTGGGGGTGAGGGGCGGAAGGTGGACTAAAATTCTATTACAGAGAACCACATTATTTTAATTCATTTCTTCGGAGAAAGTCGTCTGTAACTTCGTTTGTGGTAAAAGTATGGACGTCTGTCAAAAGTTGTTCCAATCGAACCGTCAAAATGCACCGCTTTGCTCGATTGGAACAGCTTTTTTCAGTTTTGTGGTGTCAGTCGTCCATACTTTTACTGTAGGGCTTTATGTTTAACTCATCAGGATTCCTCCAGCGGATCAATTTTGAAAAATAATGACAAATTCTAACAAACATCCAAAATTTTGATTAATTTGTATTTTTTTTTCAGCCGGCTGCTTCCAATAACGACGTGTACGGAAATTGAATAGAGGTAGGTGTTAAACAGTTTTTATTAAGTGTAATTATTTTTAAAAATTGATCCGCTGGAGGAATCTGACTGAGTTAAGCATCCTTACTGATGCAACGCATCAAAAAGGATGTTTAACTCATCCGGATTCCTCCAGCGGATCAATTTTGATGTAACTTTTTTCCAAAAATTGATCCGCTGGAGGAATCCGACGGATTTCATTGACTGATGCAAAGCATCAACAAGGATGATTAACTCATCCGGATTCCTCCAACGGATCAATTTTGATGTTACTATTTTCCAAAATTGATCCGCTGGAGGAATCCGGCTGAGTTAAGCATCCTTGCTGATGCAACGCATCAACAAGGATGTTTAACTCATCCGGATTCCTCCAGCGGATCAATTTTGAAAAATAATTACAAATTCTAACAAACAGATCCAAAATTTTGATTATTTTGTAATTGTTTTTTTTTCAGCCGCCTGCTTCCAATAATTCCGGAGGTGTTCGGGAATAGAGGTAAGTATTGAACAATTTGTTATTAAGTGTAATTATTTTTTTTTTTAAATTGATCCGCTGGAGGAATCTGGCTGAGTTAAGCATCCTTATTGTAAGGATGTTTAACTCATCCGGATTCCTCCAGCGGATCAATTTTGATGTATTTTTTTTTTTCCAAAAATTGATCCGCTGGAGGAATCCGGCGGATTTAATTGACTGATGCAAAGCATCAACAAGGATGATTAACTCATCCGGATTCCTCCAACGGATCAATTTTGATGTAACTATTTTCCAAAATTGATCCGCAGGAGGAATCCGGCTGAGTTAAGCATCCTTACTGATGTAACGCATTCCGATACCGGATCCCGATGTTTATGTTTAAGTTAAAGTTTTATTATAGTTAAGTAAAATTTAAAGTTAAGTTAAATTAAGTATGTAACAACTAAATTTAAGTTAAAATTATGTTAAAGTAAAACTTATGTTGATGGTAAGATGAACTTATGTTAAAGTAAAAGTTAAAATTTATTTAAAGTTACGTTAAAGGTAAGTTAGAGTTAAGTTAAGGTTACGTTTAAGTTAAGTTAAAGTTATGTTTAAGTTAAGATAAAGTAAAGTTAAAGTTATGTGTAAGATAAAGTTAAGTTCAAGTTATGTTAAAGTTAAAGTTAAGTTATAATTAAGTTTAACTTATGTTAAGGTAGAGTTAAAGTTAATTTAAAGTTTTGTGAAATTTATGTTAAAGTAAGTTTAAAGTTAAGTTAAAGTTATGTAAGAGAAAAAGTTATGTTATAGTTATTTTAAAGGAAAGATAAAGTTTTGTTAAACTTAAGTTAAAGTTATCCCTAATAAACGGATACCATACACTAACGATGTCATAGATGGTACGACCATACCGCATAAAGTTGGGATGATATCCCGAATTGGTGGTTAGGCGCTTCTTATGGTTATTGTTTATGCGGGATGTTAAAGTTAATTTAAAGGTAATTTAAAGGTAAGTGAAAGTTTTGTTAGAGGTAAGTTAAAGTTATGTTAAAGGTAAGTTAAAGCTAAGTTAAAGTTATGTTAAACTTAAGTTAAATTTGTGTTATACGTAAGTTAATGCTATCTTAAAGTTAAAGTTATGCTAAAAATAAATTAAATTTATGTTAAATTTGGTAAAATTTAGGTTTTGCTAAAATTATGTTCAAGTAAAGTTAACGTTAAGTTTTAGTTCATTTAAAGTTAAAGTAAAGTTTAAGTTATTTTTAAGTTAAAGTTAAGTCTAGATTATTTTAGAGTTAAAGTTAAGTTTAAGTTATTTTAAAGTTTAAGTTAAGTTAAAGTTATGCTGAAGGTAAGTTAAAGTTAAGTTGAAGTTATGTTAAAGGTATGTTAAAGTAATTTTAAAGTTAAAGTTATGTTAAAATTAAGTTAAAGTTGTGTTATAGGTAAGTTAAAGCTATCTTAAAATTAAAGTTATGCTAAAAAGAAATTAAATTTATGTTAGATTTGGTAAAATTTAGGTTAAAGTTTTGTTAAAGTTAGGTTCAAGTAAAGTTTAGGTTAAGTTAAAGTTATTTTAAAGTTAAAGTTAAGTTTTAGTTATTTTAAATTTAAAGTTAAGTTCAAGTTATTTTATAGTAAAGTTAAGTTAAATTAATGTTAAAGATAAGTTAAAGTTACGTTAAAGTTGTGTCAAAGTTAAGTTAAAGTAATTTTAAAGTTAAAGTTATGTTAGAGCTTAGTTAATGTTATGGTAATCTTTATTTAAAGTTATGTTATAGGTAAGGTAAAGTTAAGCAAAAAATAAATTAAATTTATGTTATATTTGATTAAATTTAAGTTAAAGTTTTGCTAATATTATGTTAAAGTAAAGTTAAAGTTAAGTTTAAGTTATTGTTAAGTTAAAGTTATTTTAGCTTAGCTTAGCTTAGCTTAGTCTGACTGCACGTATCGATAGTTGCACTCCGTGATTGATCTAAACCAGTGAAATTGTACAAAGATTGTTAAGTTAAAGTTATTTTAAAGTTAAAGTTAAGTTTAAGTTATTTTAAAGTTAATTTTTTGATAAAGTTAAGTTTAAGTTATTTTAAAGTTAAAGTTATGTTAAACTAAAGTTAAAGTTCTGTGATAGGTAAGTTAAAGTTAAGTTGAAGTTAAATTAACGTTAAGTTAAAGTTACGTTAAAGTTAAGTTAACGTTATGTTATGTTATGTTAAGTATAAGTTAACTTAAAGTTAAGTTTAAGTTAAAGTTAAAGTTAAAATAATTTTGAAGTTAACGTAATGTTCAAGGTAAAGTTAGGTGAAAGCTAAGTTAAAATTAAGTTAAAGTTATGTCAAAATTAAATTAGAGTTATGTTTATGCTTAAGTTAAGTTAAAGTTCAGTTAATGTTAGGATAAAGATATGTTGAATTTAAGTTAAAATTACGTAAAGGTTATGTTAAAGTTTAATTAAAGTTAAGTTAGAGATATGTTAAGTTTATGTTAGGTTAAGTTCAAGTTATGTTAATGTTAAATTTATTTTAAATTTAAGATTAAATTTAAAGTTAAGTTATAGTTCAGTTAATGTTAGGTTAAAGTTATGTTAAATTTAAGTCAAAATTAATTTAAGGTTTTGTTAAACTTTAGTTCAAGTTAAGTTAAAGTTATGTTAATGATAAGTTAAAGTTATTATAAAGTTTAAGTTAAGTTAAAGATCTGTTTAGTTCATGTTAGGTTATAGTTAAGTTCAAGTTATGTTAATGGTAAACTTATTTTAAATTTAAGATAAAATTTAAAGTTAATTAAAGTTAAGTTAATGTTAGGTTAAAGTTCTGTTAAATTTAAGTTAAAATTAATTTAAGGTTATGTTAAAGTTAAGTTAAAGTTATTATAAAGTTAAAGTCAAGTTAAAGATGTGTTAAGTTAATATTACATTAAAGTTAAATTAAAGTTATGTTAAATTTAAGTTAAAATTTAGTTAACAACAACGTTTAAGTTAAGTTAAAATTTGGTTAAAGTTATGTTAAAGTTAAAAATAAGTTAAAGTTTGTTAAAGTTAAGTTAAAGTAAAGTTAAAATTACGTTAGAGTGAAGTTAAAATTAAAATGATTTTAAAATTAAAGTAATGTTCAAGGTTAAGCTATGCGAAAGCTAAGTTAAAATTAAGTTAAAGTTATGTCAAAATTATGTGAGAGTTATATTAATGCTAAAGTTAATTTAAAGTTAAGTTAATGTTAGGTTAAAGTTATGTTAAAGTTATGTTAAAGTTTTGTAAATTCCCTGAAGTTCTGTGTACTCCCTGAAGGTCTGTGAATTTCTCTGAAGATCTTCGAACTACCCTGAAGCATTAAAATATTAAAAATTTCTCTAAAAGTCTACAAAACTTTCCTGAATTTCTGCAATTTTTTTCTGAAGCAATAAAAATTTATCTGAAGACCTCCTTTAAGTTCTGCAAATTTCTCTGAGGATCAACAATCTTCCCTGAAATTCAGTATTTTTCCCTGACGTTCTGCCAATTTGCCTAAAGCTCTGTGAACTGCCCTGAAGTACTGAAAATAACTCTTAGATGTACGAGGATCTTTAAATTTATGTGATCTTCCCTGAAGTTCTGTGAGTTTATCTAAAGTTCTGCGAACTTCTCTGAAATTCTGTTCTATAAATTTCCCTTAGGAACTAAAAAATTATCTTTAAATTTACGAACATCACTGTAGTTCTGTTAATTTCTCTGAAGATCTTCAAACTTCCCTGAAGATCTGTGAACATCCATAAAGTAGTGATTATTTCTCGAAACGACGACAAACATTACTGTAGTGCTGTAAATTACTCAGAAGATCTACGAACTTCCCTGATTTTCTTTTGATTTCTCTAAAGATTTCAGTTTTTTAAAACTTCTCTGAAGTTTTTTTTTTTAATTTCCCTAAAGTTCTGCTAGTTTCTCTGAAGATCTACGACCTTCGGTGTAGTAAGATCTTCATAACAATTTCCGATTATTCTACGTTCTGAAGAAATTTTCAAACGACTTCAATTCGATTTTTTATCAGATGTTGGTCCTCAGAATAATTCCTGATCAACTTGACCTCTTCGAAAAATATCTCAAGATTTTAATTTCTAATCCTTATCAACCTGACCACTTCGAATATTTTCTAAATTACTTTATTTGAATTTCTGATCAGTTGTAGGTCTTCAAAACAATTCCTGCTTATTTTGATCTCTTGTAGTAATATCCGAAAAGTTTCGATTGATTTATTGATCAGTTGTAGGTTCTCAGAATAATACCTGATCAATTTAAACTATTCAAAGAATATCAAAAGGACATCGTTTGAATTTCTGTTCAGTTGTAGGTCTTCAGAATAATTATTAACTTATATTAAATTAAATCTGGTATTTTTCTGATGTTTATAGAACTACCAACAATCAATACGAAACTAACGATTTTAAATTGGCTCACCACTTTAGTAGCCTATTGGTCCCAAGCAAACGATTAACGTACCCTATTCTAGTTGAAATTCTATTACTACACTATGTTTGTTTTGATTCGCTATGAAAGTTTGACAGATAACATCAGGGGTGTGTGGATTCATGCAGAACATGCAGGGGTGAGTGAAATAGCTTGGGACTGCTTGGGACCGTTGTTCTGGTACTGAGTGAGCCAAAAATAATAATGATTTTCTTCGGGACCCAGTGGTCTTAGAGCTACCTCTATGGAACTACCCTGAAGTTCTAGTAGTTCTTCTAACTAACCTTAAAATGTACATTTACCCCTATACCGCTATGCCGCTGTCCTGGTGTCATTGGGTTCGGCCCTTTACCTGGCTCGTAGACATTTCAAAGACAACAATGTCTGCATGATGTTTATACATCGGTTCAAACTATGCGTATTGATAAGTTTTCTGAAAAGATTTGGATCTAGGTGCATAGTTTGCTTTGATAGTCTTTCAGTTTCTCTAGCATTCTCTAGTCTTAGCTCATCTAAATATTTATTGCAAAATCCCTGGATTAATCTTCAATTTGGCTTTGTTTTCTTGTTTATTTTCTATCGTTCTATGTTCTGCAACCGAGTGGCAACCACTTACGCTAGGGAGGCAATTGAACACCTAGACCTGGACTCATCAACTCAAGGGCCAGGATCCACGGCTGTGCTTCTTTTCGAAGGAAGGCATGACACCACCAAAGCAACCAAGGAAGTCATCAATCCCCACCAACTGACGAGTTTCGTTTGTGGTTCGACACATGGACGGAGCATTTGTGTTTTGCTAAATTTTGCAAATTATTGGGGAATTTCCCTAAAGTTTCACGCGGCCACCAGTTTTCACTCTTCCACAGGCCTTAAGGGTAACCCACATTAGATCTGCTTGCGTTGCGTTGTCGTAAATTTTATAGTTAGACAATATATTTAGCTGTCACTTTGCTGCATCGCGCCAGATCCGGATCTAATGTGGGTGGCCCTGTAGATTTGGAAACTTGATTATGTAAACACTAGGCATCTTTGTCTGGTAGTTCGTTCAAAAATGATACAACAATCGTCAAGCTCGCTGTAACGTCACCTAGTGCCTCGTCACCTACAAATTGGCGCCTATGTCAGTGGTCTAATAACTCTTAGCGCGCTAATGGCATAGTTCCCCTGCCGCATAGAGAGTTACCACAATGACATCAGGTTAGCTAAGGTCAGTTAACTGACTGGTGGGAAACGGGAGCTTACGCAATGGCTATTCTGTATGCATTTAAGAGATAGTCTACCAGAATGGATGATTTTTTTGTACAATTTTATGTTTTCTGATTGTGCAAAACATGAGAATTAACTTTTCCAATGCTTTCAATTATACAAAGCATTAGTGCTAGAAACATGATCTTGTAAACACTACACACCTTAACTGTTAGTTTGATTAAAAAATGTTGCAACAATCGTCAAGCTCGCTGTAATGTCACCAAGTGCCTCGTCACCTACAAATTGGCGCCTATGTCAGTGGTCTAATAACTCTTAGCGCGCTAATGGCATAGTTCCCCTGCCGCATAGAGAGTTGCCGCAATGACATTAGGTTAGCTAAGGTCAGTTAACTGACTGGTGGGAAACGGGAGCTTCAGCATTGACAGTTATGTACGCATTTTTATGATGTTATCTAACAACAATGGTGTGTAGTGTTTACACGATTATGTTACTAATTCTAATGTGTTGTAAATATAATTGAAAGCATTTGAAAAGTAAGATTCTAGTGGTTATACTACTTAAAACATAAGTAAACATCTACATTTTAAAACATTCAAACAACGTTTACTTTAAACGTTTTGTACATCTGAAAACATCAGAGAACAACAAACAGGAAGTACAATTGAAAACATCCGAACAACGTTTAGTTCTAACGTTGTGTACATCCGAAAACATCCAAAAAACGTTTGGTTCTAGCATCGGGAAACATCTACATAAGAAAACATTAGAATACATTTACATATAAAAACATCCGAACAACGTTTAGTTCTAACGTTTTTTACATCCGAAAACATCCAAAAACGTTTGGTTCTAACATCAGGAAACTTCTACATTAAAAAACATCAGAAAACATTTACATATAAAAACATTTAAACAACGTTTAGTTCTAACGTTTTTTACATCCGAGAACATCCGAAAACGTTTGATTCTAACATCGGGAAACATCTACATTAGAAAACATCAGAAAACGTTTACATATAAAAACATCCGAACAACGTTTAGTTCTAACGTAATGTACATCAGAAAACATCCATAAAACGTTTGGTTCTAATGTCAAGAGATTGAAATTTTTGACGTCAGACCGACATTAGAATGGCAAAATTTTGTTCCAAAATTTCTGATGTATACACCATGTTACGTTGCTTAAATACAACTAAATCATAATGTTTTCTAATGTTTGACATCAGGCATACATTTGATTTCGATGCTGATGTAGACATCAAAATCAAACGTTGGGCTAATGTAAATTTCTATTCGGGATTTCCAATGTCTATTTGTTTTCGCTTCTCGTTTCATTGTTTGGCTGCGGCTGTGTGCTCTACTTATTTCATTTTTCTTTGCTTGGGGGTTTGTGATTTTGTTGTTGTTTGATGGTCTCCCTAAGACAAAGATAACCAATCTTTTTTTTTTTTATTATTATTAGGCTGATGCAAATTTTTATTTTTATTTATGTCACCCCCCCCCCCCTTTCAAAATGTCAAAATATTGAGGGGGCAAAAAAAAATTAGTTTAAGTATTTTGACGAAAACTGTCCTAGTTTTGGTTTGCCGTGTTGAAAAAATTCGACTGTTGAGTTGTTTTGGTTTGCCGTGTTTTACGCTAAACTGCCCGTTTTTATCGTTTACCCGTCATCAACAGCAACCGTGAGTAAAAATGACGTTTTCGTTATGTCAATGCACGAAAATTCGCAGGACGCTTCTCTCACGCATAAGTGCTGTCGTTTTTAGGTGGTTTCTTTTCGCTATCTCTTTTACTCTGAAGCAAAATGAGAGGTTAGACACGGTGCACTGATCTATAGTAAGCACTCCGCTGCATTTTGCTTTGATAAACGCAGTAAAAAAGTGTACTCTTTCGGACCAAATTGCTTTTCGTAGATCAAAAGTTGTGTTTCAGTGCAATCTTCGTTCACAAATGATATTGCGTGCCCGTGTATCACAATATGGTAAGCTGTGTGTTTTTTTTATAGCCTAAAAACTGACATCAATGTTTCTTTTTAGGAAAAAAAAGCTCCCGATGGCCATCCGGATCGAAAGAGACGGGAAATTGGTCAATCAATCGATCGTTTCGACCACGGCAGATAAATCTTTCTCCGACTTGATCAGTCAGGTGATGGGGTCTGTCGAAATTGAAACTATCTACGCCGGATCAAAGCCACTAGAAAAGGAACATCTCTTCGAACTTTCACTGACTACCACAATTGATGATGCTATTCTTGCTATTGGCTCTTGCACAAAAGTACTGTACATCTTAAAATCCATGATCCCTCTTGTGAAGAAGCCACTTCCTAGTGCTTTTGATACGTTGATGAACAATGCATCCATCCTCAAACGTCCGGATATACGATCGGAAAATCGTGGTCAAGACGGTATTTATAACCACACAGTTGATTATCTTCAGGATCTGGATTTGGGATTCCGAACGTTCCAAAAGGTTGAAATGGAACTTTTTATGTCCACCGTAGTTTCGGTACTTTGGTACCTCGACGGCCATTGGGAAAAGTTTTCGTCAGCGCCAGGTATATCAAAAATGCCACAGAGGCTGCATTTTGCTCCTGAAAATCAAGACACATTTCGGAAGCTGCATCATGGAGATCAAAAAAAGAAAACTTTACCGCGGCTCAAGAAACTTGACTTGATTGAGCACTTCAACAAACTTGAGTTCCTTTCTTCAAAATCATTCATCCAGGCAGCAGCATGGAGATCAGTTTTAGATGACGTGTGTCAACTGAAAGTTTGTATCGCAGAATATATTGCCCATATCAATCGGGCGGAAGTACGTGGGAAAGCGGAAGAGGAAACCATTTCTCATCGGGATAATCGTTCGCTTAAGAAGGTACCAGCGAAACCGGACCGGAAAAACATGAGCAAGATTCTTTACGCAGCGCTGGAAACGGAACTAGAGTCGGCACCCCCTTACGTTGGCTTAGCGTTTGAGTTCACCATCTACGTTTATCGATCCTTCAAACCTGGCGCAACGTTTGTATGGAAATCCCCAGAAGACGATCAAACTGCTCTGGCAAACACGATCGCTCGCATCGAGAAAAATATTGAAGAACGTGTTAAACACGACAAAGCTGTACACATGAACAACTTGTTCGGCAATACAGCACAATGGTCCATGGATAACGTCAGCAAGCTGATATCGTTTATAGCAGGTTAGTTTGTACTATCAGACTGTAACATGTTACTGTTTTTTACCTTTATGCTTCATGCTTTGTTATTTTTAGATGATGATCATCTCTCGCAGGACGACACAGATGATACTGTGGCTGAATTTAAACTTTTATTGGACGAAGGGTATGAGCTCTCTGATGCTTTGACATTGGTCGAACAGGCTCGAACAAGAGTCGAAAGCAGAAAAATTTGAGCATTTCTGGAAAGCGGTGGAAAACGTGCTAGCTGAAAACGATTACACCGTTGCTGACGAACGACGTAACGGAGAAACAACTTGGATATCACCATTGTGTGTTTCTCTACGTGATTTGATGTCACAATGTGAGAGAAGAATGGAAGAGCTTTTCCCGGATTCCGACAACAATTTTATTCCATCGTATGAATATTTTCGAATCCAGTTTGTTCCTCGAAACAGCAAATCAGTAGCAGGGAGCAGATATTATGGTCGATTCAACGTGAAGTTTGGATTGCAAAAACGAACACTGCACAAAGCTCATGTAGATCAACATTACGGTGCTAAGCAATTCAAGTTTTTGAAAGTTATGGCGGGTAATATCTTTTAAATATCTGTTAAATTTTTATTACTTAATCTTATCATTAACGCAGGCATCTTTTCGGATCATTCGCTAGTAAAGGGTGATGCGGTCAAAATTTGGTCAATATCAACTTGACGTATTTCTTTCAATTTTGCATTTAAAAAACCTGAACACCCCTCATTTTGAAGGTGTGTGTGTGTAGAATGTTGCTCCTATTTTGATTTTGGAATTCACTCTTCAGTTGTCAAAATGCCGTCCAAGCAAGAAGAGCAGCGTATCAAAATTTTGCTAGCGCATCGCGAAAATACGAGCTACTCGCACGCAAAGTTGGCAAAATCGCTAAAAGTTGCCAAATCAACCGTTACAAATGTAATTAAAGTGTTTGGGGAACGTTTGTCGACAGCCAGGAAGTCTGGATCGGGGGGAAATCGAAAACCGAAAGCCGCTGAGACGACAAAGAGAGTTGCCGGTAGTTTCAAGCGAAACCCTAACCTCTCTCTCCGAGATGCCGCAAATAAGCTGGGTGTATCGTCTACAACCGTGCATCGAGCCAGAAAACGAGCCGGACTATCGACTTACAAGAAGGTAGTGACTCCAAATCGCAATGATAAACAAAATACGACGGCCAAAGCGCGATCCCGGAGGCTGTACACGACGATGCTGACGAAGTTTGACTGCGTGGTAATGGACGACGAAACCTACGTCAAAGCCGACTACAAGCAGCTTCCGGGACAGGAGTTTTATACGGCAAAAGGAAGGGGAAAGGTAGCAGATGTTTTCAAGCACATGAAACTGTCAAAGTTCGCAAAGAAATATCTGGTTTGGCAAGCCATCTGTACCTGTGGCTTGAAAAGCAGCATTTTCATAGCTTCCGGGACTGTCAACCAAGAAATTTACGTGAAAGAGTGTTTGAATAAACGTCTGCTGCCTTTCCTGAAGAAACACGGTTGTTCCGTACTGTTTTGGCCGGATTTGGCATCTTGCCATTACGGTAAAAAGGCCATGGAGTGGTACGCCGCCAACAACGTGCAGGTGGTTCCCAAGGACAAGAACCCTCCCAACACGCCAGAGCTCCGCCCAATTGAGAAATACTGGGCTATTGTCAAGCGGAACCTAAAGAAGATCAAAAAAACTGCTAAGGGCGAGCAGCAGTTCAAGGCAAACTGGCTTTCTGCGGCGAAGAAGGTGGACAAGGTGGCTGTACAAAATCTGATGGCAGGGGTCAAGCTCGGCAATTCGGATTTGGAAAAGAGGAAGCCTAACTGAATATTTTTCCTGAATTTTATACTAATTGAACATTTGAAAAAGAAATTTAATTTGATTTTTTAAATAAACGATTTCACCGATTTACACGCGTTTTCCCTTGACCAAATTTTGACCGTATCACCCTTTAATCAATTCTGCGGCATGCCTAAAAGCATTGGAAGCTTCGAAAATGGCATCCTTCAAAATGATAAGGGGCTTCCCCTTATACCATGATTCTGATACATCCTTCGGTGGTATAAGCATAGAGGTAACTCTAAGACCACTGGGTCCCGAAGAAAATCATTATTATTTTTGGCTCACTCAGTACCAGAACAACGGTCCCAAGCAGTCCCAAGCTATTTCACTCACCCCTGCATGTTCTGCATGAATCCACACACCCCTGATGTTATCTGTCAAACTTTCATAGCGAATCAAAACAAACATAGTGTAGTAATAGAATTTCAACTAGAATAGGGTACGTTAATCGTTTGCTTGGGACCAATAGGCTACTAAAGTGGTGAGCCAATTTAAAATCGTTAGTTTCGTATTGATTGTTGGTATAAGTTTTATGGAAACTGATGGTACGATATGTTGGGGGATATTGTCATGATCCATGGCATTTAAACCACGTCCATCTAAGCCAGCCATCAATACGTGCCGCTGACGACGCGTCGCACTTACTGGTGTACCAGTAAACCCCACAGGAATGGACGCTTTGTCGTCTAAAAAGTGTATTTAAGTTGACGTTGATGACCGACCAATGATGTTTATCGGCACCGATGGTGGTCCGGATCACAACGTCACAAGTATTCAAGTGATCTTAAGCTATTTAGCTTTATTCTTCGAATTGGATCTTGATTTTTTGTGTGCAGTTCGAACTCCTCCCAATTTTTCGGTCATCAACCCAGCGGAACGTTTTATGAGCGTTGCTAACATTGCTTTGATGGGTGTCTCTTTGGCCAGAAATCATCTAGGTCAAAATGAACCAAAAGTACGGTCTCTGTTGTCCAAAAAGCAATGGAGAGATGCACAAAGCAAGCATCCTAATATCGACTACCGTCAGATGGCGCTGGACGGAACCAAAGATGCGAGGGAACTTTTGACAAAACGTTTTGAGGCATTAGTGTACAAAGGTGAAAATGTTGTGGTTGGTGATGCGGCCACGGAT